ATTTGTTCTTTACAACAAACTTCTTTGCACCTTCTACAAACTGAGTTAAAGAATCCTACACAGATTATGTACTTACAGCTGCGTTTATGCACTGAATGGTATGATTTATCTATAGCTCTTTCTATTATGTATTACTTTAACAGATTCAGAGACAAACTGTGTGTTTCAAGATAAGAAGTACCGCGTAGGTGAAAGATGGCATCCCTACCTAGAGCCCTATGGACTCGTTTACTGTGTTAACTGTCTCTGCTCAGAGGTAAATCCAGGTTTCAATCTCCAGACCTTCTGCATGTTCTCAATTGAGAATAGTCTCAACATTGTTTTATGAAGCTGTGTGGCCCAGACCTGCTGTGGATGTGTCCATCTCCTCCTGTCTTCCTTGGCAGCTGCAGAGAAAAGAGGCAGAGAATCTTAGTTATGGGATATCTTCACAGAGGAGACCAAGACCAGCAAAAAATGCCCAAATCATGCATGTCATCTCCTTTGTTAGGCAGCAGATTTGTACATTCCTTGCAGTGAACCTTAAATAGTTTAATCCTGGCATCCAAGTACAATCTTTATCTTGTTACCAGAATGGAAGATCAGACTGAGCCTACATGATCTAACTGCAAACCAGCTTTCCAGTAAAGTATTACCAGAATAAAGAGATCTTTCCCAAGGAGGCCTATCTGTAGAAACAACTACGAATAGACAGAGTTAATGAAGGATGAGGGAAGGAGGGAGAATTGACTTGGACATAAAAGGATGGTCCCTCTGAGGTATAATTAAGCTGCCTTGAATTGATGCTTAGATATCACCCTTATAGTTCCTTGGTAGTATCATAAATAGCTGCAGGAGGGAGGCATATCTAAAGGCAAAAAATTTCCCTTAGAGTACTTTAAAATGGCTAAACCAAAGGGATCTACACTTGATCTTAGCCATAAGGCCAAGATACTCTAGATGCAGAGGTCTGTCTGCTATCTTTAATGGTATACATAGTCTTCTTATCTGTTATTCCCCAGCAAATGTAAAATAGTGGGCTCTCTGCAGCATTTACGCTGAGGAATTTGCTGCTTCACTTTTGTGCACAGAGGCTTACAAACAGTAGCGCACAAGCTTGGCAGGGGTGCACATCTGTGCAGCAGAGAGAATATGACGCGACTACGTAGCATTGTGAAAAGAGGAGGAAAGTCCCCTTTTTAAGTTAGGCAGATTTTTATTCACTTTTGCTGATAATCTTCATGCAGATGTTTAAAACCTCTTTGGAATCAGTGCTTGGAAAAAGCACTCATTAAATGCTTAAGGGCTGTACCTCATTGCTGAGGCAGTGGAATTCACCGGAGATGCTAGCGATCTGAAGACAGACCGTTGACCAATGACACTAGGGAAAAGTTGGACAGGGAAGAAAAATGGTAAAGTAAATAGAAGGCTCTCTTAAGGTCTGGGGAAGCCCCATAGTATTTAAAGTTAAATGAGAACTTCCACAAGACATGCCAATCCATACACAAAAAGACTCAAAGACGGAAGATCCTATTTCCATGACCCATAGACACACATAGATGTGGATGTCATGAATGGCAGAAAGACTTATGCATAGATTTGGGGAAGCAGAAGTAGGCTAGGAGGCATAGGTTACTGATAGGGGGTGCACAGGGGTGCATGTGCCCCCCCTGAAGGCCGACACTGATGCTGTTGGTAGGGTTGGTGCCCCCCCTGACAGGGCCACCGCTGGCGGCAGCTTCTGTGGGTGCCCCCCAAGATTCAGGAGGCACCAGTAGCTCATGCTAGGAGGAGACGATGCCAGGGGTGCTTATTGCCAGGTATCACCTAGAAGTGGCTCCCTCCATCCTATGGATCTTGGAACCACATGGATTTACTGATTGATTGATCTCTCCCTCTTTGTTGTAAGGATCTTGGAGCTGTGGCATGAATGCACTGCCATCCTATAAACTGACTAAGAGGGAAGGTTCCCAGTGGACTTCCCTAGTGCTCAGCCACTCAAGTTTTCTGCTGAGCAAAGATATGGCCCAAGGGATTACCATCTGAATAGTCACCTAGATGCGGGCTCTTATTTTACCCTATTTCAGATAAATTATGATAAACAGGGGTATTGGATCATCTAGCCTGGCCTCCTATACATCAGAGGCCATTAAGTTTCACTCATGCACCTTATATCAAGCTTCAGTTTAGCCAACAATTTTAATTATTACAAGCTAAACTGTAGTTTGCCACAGACAGAGAAAAGGAGAGAACAGGGAGCCACCAATGTCCAAGTCTCAGGCAACTGGGGGAAACAATTGAGTAAGAAATACAAGATAGTCTCATCAGGTGAACTATACCCAATATACTGCCAAAAAAAGTGAATCCTCCACTCTCAAGAATCCCTGCAATTTTAAGCCAGAAAAATACTGCTCCCCGACCCCAGATCCAGCAATTGGTCTGACCCTGAGCATGTGAGCAAGTCACATGGGCCAGGCACCTGAGATGGCTCTCTGTGCTACCTCCAAGCACCAGCCTGCTCAATATCCCATCTGCAAATATGGTTAATCTCTGATGGTTCAGAAGAAGGTAAAAAAAACCCAAACCAACAAATTTATGCATCAGAGGGGAACAAATCCTTCCTGGTGTTTTGTATGTTATTGTGACTTGTTTAAAGGAAAGGCTTCCAGGTTCTAAGTAAGCAGAGTAACTGCAGGTAACCCTTTATCTCCCGTAAGTGGGAGTGCTGGCATTGGAACAGCAGTGTTGTTAATTAGCTTTAGGTAAATTGCAGTGCTTGTAACTTGCCAGATTTCTACTTTACCCTGAAATGTACTGTTTAAAACATACAGCTCTAGTGCTCAGCCCAGCTGCTCCTCTGCATGTGTTCAGAGTTTGATTTGCAGATGGCAGCAACTAAAATAATGTTTACTGCTTTTTAGTGGCACCCTCATAGAATAGGAAGAGAGTTGAATTCTATTTGTATATGGGACAGAATTGCTCATTACATTCCAGTTGCATACAAAGGTTTGAATCCAGTGAAGCCGGTGGGATGGTCCAGCAGTTAGTGAGAACAAAACTTAGGCTTGGAGAACTTTCATTACAAGTAATGACGCACAAGAAGGAATGGTCCCAGATTGGCTTTCAGAGCCCATGATGAGTTTCAGGGCTAGTAATTAATAATAAAAGACAGTCTGTGGGTCAAATTTTTTGCTGTTGAAAGCAAGGAAAATTCCACTGAAATGAAGGAAGCCACATCCATTTTAAGTAGCATAGTATTCATTAACCTTCATATTGCAGCAGTGCCTGTCAGCCCACCAGACTGGTGACTTGTTCTGCAAGGCACTGGAGAGACCAGCAGTGAATGAGAGTACTCAAGCCCCAAAGAATTTACAGTCTAAAAGTTGTCCCTGTTTTGTACACCCAGCACTTCCAATTTGCAATCACTGGGCGTGTCTACATGAGACGCTTTACTTGAGATTAGAGCAAACTACTGTGCAGTAACCATCATTGTCTGCACATGTGGGCACCTACTGCACAGAAATTTGCTCTAATCTCAAGTAAATTTGCTACCTGTAAATACAAGTAGCAAATGTATTCAGGAGTAACTACTGCACAGTATGGCATGCATGGACAGCTAACCAAGAGAAAATTGGCTCTTGGTCAGGTGGGCAGCAGGGGTGGGAGATTGCTCCTTCTCCTCGGGAGCTGCCTGTGGCCAAGGCAGGCTCCACCACCGAAGTCTGGGCAGAGACAACATCCCTCTGCCCCAACGGCAGGGAGCTGAACCCCCACTCAGGGGCTGGGAGATTGTTATCTCCCAGCCCCAGCTCCACACTCATGGAGTTGGGACTGGGAGCTCCGTGCACAGGGACAATTCCCTGCCCAGCCTGGAGTTGACGGGGCCTGCCTCTAATCAGGACAATTCTTGGCCAGGCCTGGGCTGCACGGGGAAGTCTGCATGTGCAACCTAGAGGTGGCTGGGGACTGTCCCATTTTAGGCAGTCCCCAGCCAGCTCCAGGCTGCACATGCAGTCTTCCACATGCAGCCCAGGGCTGGCTGGAAACTGTCTCAGTCAGGGGCAGGTCCCGTCCCTAGGCCTCAATCAGGCAATCAAAGTGTGGGGCTAGGAAAGAGCGGAAGGGGAGGGGCAGAGGACTGCCCACCCAGCCAGAGGCTTGCTGCTAGCTGCCCCACCAGCGGATCATCCTGCCCCTTCCCTTCAGTTCTTTCCAAGCCCTCTGCCCCAATCAGGGAGCCAGGGCTGGGAGCTCCATGCTGTCATGGCAGTGGGACACTGTAACTGCCTTGGCTCTGCCATCGGAGCCTGCCCTGGCACCAGGCAGCTCCCAAGGACAGGGAACAATCTCCCAGCCCCTGCCAGGAGACAGCTATCTCCTGGCCCTGTGATCACTGCCATTGCCTGGGCTAGCACCCGGGGGAGCCTAGAGCTCCCTCTGGCTGCTGCAGGGGACCAGTGCCGGGCTGGTGGGGGCAGAAGCAAACTGCTGCCTTGAGCAACAAATCTACTTCTGCTTCCCTACACAAGTAGACGCCTGCCTGGGGTAGGTTTACTCTAGAGTAAATTACTCTAGAGTAAACGTACCCACTGAGACACAAAATACTAGAATATGATTACTGCCCATTTGAGAGACACATTTTTCAGAACAGAATTGCACTTTATGATGAATACAAGGAAACTGTGTAGTGAAAGTTAAAGCCTAATCAAATGGAAATTCATTAGTTGCACCAGTCTCATATTTCTGATAACCATGTGAAAATTAAGAGGATTTATTTCAAGGTACACCTTAAACTACAAGCTGTGACAAATGTTCAGATTGAAGGTCTTTTTCTGTTACAAACAAGTAATTTCTACAGCTAAATCAGGGTATGAATTATGGTTGGAGAAGTGGAAATCTGAAACAGTCAGTATTGTCTAGCATAATGTAGATGGTTTGCAGACATAGAAGACAGAAAATGCCCTATGTTTTAATTATAAATCAAGCCTAGATAGGGTCAAATAGAATATTATGTTAATCATGTGAATTATGAACACTATTCCCAAGTCCTGCTCAGATTTCTTAGAAAAATGACTGTTTACCAGCTGGTTTTCTTTGTCTACTGGGGAACCAATAAAATAAGAACAGAGGAATCTCTGCAGCCTTAAGAAAAATTGCAGACCTCATGGTCTCTTGTGGTCTTGAACTAATCCTCAACAGGGGGTGCCCTGGAGACCTACTATTCATTATCTATTCCTGAGCTTTGGAAAAGCAGTTACTCAATATAATTTGGTTCAAAAGCAGCTTGACTACATAAGTGAAAATTTTTCTGATCCCACATTTTAGGCATTTCTTTTGAACTTAAAGCATCTATGCTGTTTTGTAGATTTGTGCCGCATTCAGATCTCAGGGCATCTTTACTTGTGCTCCGGGGCGGATGGGGGGCTCTCAGGAGCCACTGTTTTTAAAGTGCCTGCAGCATGATGTGTATTCAGCATCCCACACTACAAAATGGGGGGGTGGGGGACACTTTAACTAAAGCTCATTCAAGCTTTAAAGAGCCCCCGCTACCATTTTGAAGTGCAGGGATGCTGAATACATATGATGCAAAGGCTGCTGCAGGCTGCGTGTTAATTAGCATGCATTGGAGCAGACGTCTAGCACATGTATAGGTGCCTTCAGTGCCTAGGGTAAATCAGAATGAGGTGAGGTATTCTAGATTTCAGCTGAAATCAGAATCTCAACCTTCGTACATTCAGCACCAGAACAGCTAGGTGCAGAATAGAGAGCTGAACAATGTAAGATGACCCAATAAATTAATTTATTTTATTGTTGCATTCCTCCCCCAGAATGGGAACGTACTGTGCAGCAGAATAAGATGTCCAAACCTACACTGTCCTACCCCAGTGCATGTGCCACAACTGTGCTGCCCACGGTGCCCAGGTAATTCACATTTATGATACCACAATCCTCTCTAAGATGTACTGGGGTTGTGCTAGGTTATAAAAAGTACTAGAAAAAAGCTGAGTAGCTTTCATAAAGCAAACCCCATTAGATGCCCCATTTGTGACATGGGACAGAACAGACATGTTCTTTATTATAATCAGCAGTACTATTTCCTCTAGTGGCTTCTTTTTCTTGGGTTTCTTTTTAATTCTTACAACAAAAGCAGGCTCAGAATTAAAAAATAGTTGCTTGCAAACTGCTGCATTAATGAGTAGTTCTACAATGCTATGTCAAATGCATAATCGTGTAATCTCACCAGAGAACCAGGGTAGGATTTGCCCTATACAATTACAGCCCTATATCTCATATTTTAGCTTAGCTTCCTAATGAATAAGAACTGTTGTAAATCAGAGAGCAGCATTGTAGAAGTGTATGACTGAAAATGTGATTGGATACTGTACAGCAAATTCCTCCAGACTGTACATTTTAGTACATGCTTATTTTTAAGAGTGGGGGAAAGCAAAATAAGGCCCACAGGCTGCATATAGCCCACAAGGCGATTTCTTTGGCCCGTAGGTGTCTACCAATTAATTGTACCCCACCCAGCCCACACGCTTCACTCCCACCCTCCCGCGCAGGAGGGCCATGGCCCCAGCCAGCATTCACAACTTCCAGGCACTGCTATGGCTGCCAGCAGACCTGTTTAGCTTCCCCTCCAGTGGCTTCCCCTCGGCTTCCCCTCCAGTGGCTCCTCCTCATGTCCCTGCTGCAGCACTCACTCCAGGCACCAGGTAAAGAAGCTGCAGCTGAGTAGAAGCATGGTGCATTGGGCTGGTGGGAGCACAGAGCCCAGGACCCAAGCTCAGTGGGGTGGCAGGAGCATGGAGCTCGGGTGGGCAGGGTGTGGGTGTGTGTGGGGTTTGTGGGGTGTGAGGGAGGATGGGGGGATCCCCCCACATGCCCCTATGGTACACAAGCTCCGTCACCGCCGGTGACAGTAGGAGGCAGCAGGCCCTCAGGGTGCTCGTGGCCTGTGAGGACACAGCCACCAGGCAGCATGCAGCTCCAGCCAGGTTTGGGAGCTGCATGTGGTGGCAAGAAGCGGAGCCATGTAAGCAGGGAGCAGGGCTCCCCGCGACTTCCAGTGGAGTCCCACGAGCTGCACATGGCAGCAGGGAGTGGGAAAGGCAGCTGGCTCCATTGTGATGGGCTTCCCTCTTGTGGCACATGAGTCCCAGGAGCTGTATGTGAGCCCTGTGTGATAGAGGCAGGTCAGCCAGGCTGGCCTGGCTCTGTTCTTTGCCACTGCGTGCAGCTCCTGAAACTGGGTCCCCACCCCCTCCAACCTCCCTCACACCCCACAAACCGCACACATACACACACCCTGCCCATAACCCCCACATTCCTCCCACATATACACACACCCCCAACATACCCTATACCCCTACACACACACAGCTCCACACACCCTCACAAACCCCAAAGACATACACACCTCACACCCCACCATACACCCCCCCCAACCATACCCCACACACAATATACAAGAGTAAGATTATTTTTGAGCTATTGTGCAATCACTTCTATATACGCTACACAAAAGTACATTAATCAGGACAAAAATATTTTTAAAATTAAAATACATTATAGTAGATGTTTGATTTTTAGTATATGATTTGGCTTTTTTCTGGTTCCAAGATGGCACTCCCTCCTTCAAAAGGAGCACTTCTGGGGGCAAGGAGAGGTACTTCCAATGGCAAAGATCAGGGGTTAGTGGGCATGGCACCTTTCAAGGGGCGGGGCTACCATTGTGGCCCTCCACAGCTCACCAAAACTCATTAAGTGGCCCTCCAGATGAAATAATTGCCCACCCCTGGTTAAGACCTACCATATAAAGGAGACCAGGGAGGATCTTTCATGTGGATATTACAACATCCCTGACATTGCCTAATGGTTGGTAGGTTTGATCTGGGGGTTTCCCTAATTTCTTTCTTTATGGCACCCATTATTGACCATTATGAAAAAGTACTTATGCACCATCACAGAAAAAACACTTATTCGGCTCTCTCCAGAGAGAGTTTCATTGCCTCAGGAAAAGAGCTGTTTCACTACTGAAGTGGGTGAGTAGAGGATGGTGTGCAAGAGCAAAGATCTGTGAGTCATTGTACCGTTCAGTGGCACAAAGAACACACCTGTAGGATTCTCTGCGCGGCAAACATGATCCACTGCTTAGTCTGTTCTGTTCTGTTCTGTTCTTCTGGAGCCCGTCCACAGGGGAGCTGAGTTTCCTGCAAACATCAGCTAGCAAGCCTGGCTGTATCGAGATGCTTTTAGTTTTGAAGGTCTCTGGATCGCAGCTGTTCCAAAACCTGAACCTATTAGTTTTACTGCATCTATCTCCTAATCTCTCCTGCTCACCCAGGCAGGACTTCTCCCTCCAGGAAGATTTATAATGCTTTGTCCTATCTACATTTGTATTCCAAGCAACACTTTGAACACTTCACTGTGAAACTGCATTCCAAAGTGTAATAGAAGTTGTACCCTCACAAATGAGTACTTGTACATGCCTTACCTGAATACCAACTGGCAGAAAGCGCAGCCCTGGCCTGCAACTTCCCTGGACCTATACAATAAAGAAATAAAAGCCAGGCTGGAGGCATTCATCAGCAAGCCAGGAAATTGGAGCAGTAGCTAAAGGTGGTGGGCAGAGAGGGAGGAGCTTCTAAGAAGGCAGAACTCTATGGCCAGTGCTAGCTTGCAGCAAACACACGGATGTCTTCTGACTGCTTTCCCACAACAATGTGTATCTTAAACCTTAAAGATTCAGTATTAGAGAGAAAGTCTTACTTGGAGAAAGTATGTTTTGCTAGTTTCTTGACCAGGTATAGTATAGCTGTGCCCTATGTCAGAGTGATGGTAAACCCCAGAAATTCCTCTGTCTTTTTTTTTAAACCAAATATACACAAAATGTACTATCCACATGCAAAAAACACAGCTACAAACTAAAAAAAAACCCAGTTAACACAGATCACACTGATAGGATAGAAATCACGGCAGACGACCCAAAATGTTTGGCAGATAAAGGCCTTTTTTTTTTTTTTTTGCATCTTATTTGACATTGGTGGCTTTCTGATCACTTTGGATGCCTATGGGCGTGCTTTGATGCATTCTAATTAGAACATGTCAGAGCAGACTTGATTAATCAAGTTTGCTGGAGCTCCAGCATGCCTCACCATCACATGTATTATGCATCCCATATTTCAAAATGGCCACGGGAGCGCTTTAACTAAAACTCATCAAATGAGTTTAGTTAAAGCATCCCCACAGCCATTCTGAAACACAGGAGATTTAATACACATGATGGTGAGGCATTATAATTAGAGTGTCTCTCTGGGAACCGCTCTAATTAAAAAGCACCCTACCAACCCTTATCCCCTAGCATGTCTATAGGCACCCTTCCTGTTTTCCAAGGAGGGGTTTTTTTTGCAGTGGCTTGGCTCTGCTACTGAGATGTCTCATCCATCTGGAGGCTTTTTTTTCTGTTTTGGTGTTTTTAATTAACAATGGCCAGGTTAGGAGCGGTCAGTAGAATCCTGGAGATCCTCAAAGGAAAGGAAACAGAGTCTTCCCTTTGGTTGGGTTAGATCACATCTGTTTCTCTCCAGCACTGAGAGAATGGTTCTTACATTGACCTTGGAGTGGGTGATATCACTATTACCATGGCAGATCATCAGCAACCTGTTATTTGGAATACAAAGGTGAATTCAGATTAGACATCAGGAGGCGCTACTTTACTGTCAGGGTAGCTAGGATCTGGAACCAACTTCCAAGAGAAGTGGTGCTGGCTCCTACCTTGGGGGTCTTTAAGACAAGGCTTGACAATCAACTTGCTGGGGTCGCTTGACCCCAGTATTCTTTTCTGCCATGGCGGGGGATCGGACTTGATGATCTGCTCAGGTCCCTTCCAACCCTACTAACTATGAAACTATCTCACTTGCAGTAGAGAAAGGGGATGCCAAAAAATACCAAATAGCTTTCTCCTAGCTTTCTTGTGTATAGAGCTGGTTTTTAGGGAATAACTGTTTCTTTGTTATATATTCAGTACATCACAAAATGAAACCGTGACCATTTGGAGCTATAATGATAATTAATGATTAATATTTCTGGGTTACTTAAGTTTGGTCCAAGAAGCTTTTTAGATTCTTGCTCTTTTTTTCTGCCTGTGAGGTTGTAGCTGGTGACTCCAACAGAGATCTGTGCTGAATATGCCAACAATGGTAAGGATGGAAATTCGCAGGTCTCTTATTAAATCAAGTCCTTTGCTATTTTGCTGGGTTCTCTGCTAATGTTGCAAGTATCTGACTTTGTATATCTAAATCTATCAAAAATGCTAAAAATGATTGTGGATGGACTGTGGTCTATTGTCTTTTTTAAAATCATCCGGAAACCCATGTGGTCAAACTGCAACATACAGCATGTTGTTATGTTGCTAACCTATGCAGTAGGCAGCAGCTTATTTAAAATTGTGCATAAAGATTATTTAATAGTGGATCATTTTGTTATAGATCAAATAGATCTGCACCAGCACTGAAAAAGATGTAATTAGAAATTTCATGTGGGTTCAGAGGGTTTTTTGCATTCTGCTTACTGCATTGATTGTACATTTCATACTTGGATACCTTAGCTTCAATAGCAACAGTCATTCCTGACTAGAACAGGAATCTCATATTTTATTCCCATATTTCTCAACACAGATGATGCTTTACATTTCCAAAGTTGTGGCATGTTGGAAATGTAAATATCTTTTGCGCAGAAGCCCATAGTATGGTCTCAATCATTCTTTTGGCTTGAAGGTGTCTGAGCTTTTGCCATTGACAGTCCATTTGATTTTCTTCTTAAATGCTTGTAAGATGCAGTCATGGGTGTTCCTCACTGAGCTTCCAAAATTGCATTTCAGAGATGAATAGTTCTTGAATCAGAGTGACTTCAGGTTCTTC